TTAATTCGATTGATCACAACAAGACCAACCTGGTGAAAATACTAGCACCTATTGATTCATATCTTCAAAGTACTAGTTCCTAAATAATAGTTAAAATCATAGTCGCTAGCACTGAATTCTATGAAATGAAGTGCTTTGTAAGCTTCTACTCTGTCTTACTTCATCTTGTTAGCAAAAAAAAAAAAAACACCATAATAGATTACTTTCCCTAAAAGTTGCAGTATGGCAGAGAAACATGAATATACTACCAGACTACAAAGTTGAACAAAAAAATATCACCTAGATGCAAGAAGACCATAGCCTTGTATCTTTCATGATGAAATAAAATAATATAAGTCCAGCAGCTTGAAATTCTTACCTGGTTTTCAATACTCATAGGTTCTGAGTTGGAAGCAATAGGTACACTAAGTTCACCACCATGGGTTTTATGCCTCTCATAATCAAGGAGAGCCTAAAAAAAACTCAAGGAGTTACAACCAAAAGTATAGTGTTGCGTAACTTATGCAACTATATGTTTATTTTTCCATGTGTAAATGGAAGATGGACACACTTGAGTTTTGATACAAAGATAAGGTACAAAAAAGCACCAAAAAAACTCAGATAATAAATTGAAATAATACTTGGTATGGTAAAAATACATGGATTTAGAACTTCATCCATTTGAAACAAGTGCAATGGATTATAACATCATTACAAGAATTCAAATGACCCAAAAGTAGCCCTTACAAACCCATTACATATTTTTTTTTATAAGAAGCCTATGACTATGAAGATCCCCCCATAACACTAGCCATCAATTCAAAAAACTTCCCCATGTGACCAAATTGATCAGCGCATACAAATTACAGATATAAATACATCAATGAAAATACAAAATATTCAAAGAAAATATCTTTCCACCATCACCTTTTCATAAAATCCTCGAAATGTCCATGAAACTGTCGTACATGTCCTGCAGAAAAAAATAAAAAAAAAGAGGTGACTAAAAAAATCTTATCATATCTACGGCGAAGGATAAGGCAATATAAAAGACCCAACAATTCCTCCCCAAATGGAGATGTTACAATTCAGTGACTATGGAACCATATATTCTTCAAACTACGTGAAGAATGCATCAACAATGATTTTAATGTAAAATCCGCATCAGGTTAGGCATTAAGCAAGGATGTTCAATGCTTTCAGACAATATAACTGCTTTTACTCTTAATACACGAAAGAAAGACAGGTGAAAGAACATAAAATACTATAAATTGGCAAAAGTAGCAACTTGTCTCCCACAATGTCACATGGGAAGATTTTGACAACGTAATCTACAAATTACTTTGGGGGCTTGAAAGACTCTCCTACTTGCCGCCACAACTTGCATGAAGTCACCTGTCCCAAAAGGATGCCAGTTGTGTCAAAAATAAGATTTTAGAGCTGCAAAATTAATCAAATGAAACAAGAAATCTCATGACAAGAAAACAAAACAAAAAAAAAAAAATAATAGACCCGCAATTTTCTAATTTCTCCCCCCAACTACCTATGAACTAAGGCTGTTGGAAGAAGAGAGGTTAAAAGACTTTATATGGAGTTGTATATATCAAGTGCATTTACTTGACCATTAAATTTAGGCACATTACAGATTTCAGAAAGACTAATGTGGTCATTCACACCACTTCATAACTAGCCACTCACTATGTATGAAGCTGCTAAGCCCACAAACAGAGAATCGTATGAGAACTATCTTCAAAATATTTATAGTAAATTTTATGTGATTCAAAAAACATGTTCATTGAAGCAAGAAACTAGTTTTCAATTTCAGATTATTTTTCATAGGAAACGTATATGCCAGAGAAGAAACACAGTGGTCGTTACAGAAAGAACAACAGAATATACCTTGTCATAGCCTCCCAATCTAGTCACAGCCCTCCATAACCTTATAATAAAAAGTTTAAAATGTGAGCTCAAACTCCAATTCCTATTGGAGGATGAAAATCATGCTGCAGTAATGAAGAGTAAAAATATTACTTGAGGCAATTCAGACCCTCTCCATAGAACTTGGGAGGTTTGAACTCCAGGCTTCTTTCTCTGAAGAAGTTCTCAAGCTCCTTCATGAAAGCAGATTGCTCTTCTTCTGTTCCTGATTCACTACCTTCAGCAATATGATTTTCATCCAAAATAAACGAGTGACTCATATTTGTATGCCCATTATGAGGTGTAGTAACACTGTCTTCATTGACCTTCAACCCTACGGCATTTTCTGTTTCCGCTTTAATACAAGATGACACTGGATGGGGAGTTACAGGTTCATCATGATTTGCTATTAAAGCATGATCAAGAGAACCAGTTTTAGTTTCAGGCATCTCAAAGGCCTCAGATTTGGCATCCATGGAGGACTGGACAGTTTCTATGTGAGAGTTGGAAGTAGCAGCATCTAAACTCAACTCCCTTGGGGGCAACTCATCAGGGCCAGTTTTGACAAGAGTCTCAGGTGAGTCAATCTCTTTTTCACATGAGTTGGGAGTTGCCTCAACTGTCACACAGAGAGAATCATGGAGCTCATCTTCCGCATTAACTTGGTTGCCTTCACTTAAAGCAACTGAAACATCCTGTGCAGATTCCTGTTTCTCCTTCGCATCACACATCTCCGGTTATAGAGAGTATTCTACAACTAATGAAAGTTAGGCTTTCAGAAGAAAGTTTAAGTAAAGAAGGAAAGAATGCAGCTCATGGAATTTAGGTTTTCAGAAGTCTGTTAAGGAAAAAATGCTACATTAAAGAAAATGGAAACCCAACCCAGAATCCGGAAAATAGAGTTGGGCATCTTTACATGGAAAGTAGTAGGACTAGCAATACTCGCTAGATGGGCTACCCAAAACGCTCTAGCCAGGATCCTCATCTTATTTTTTCAGGAAAGACCTAACTCTAAGAGTCGATTCTCCCGCCCTCCCCTTAGCAAGAGAATCAAGTAAAAGGAACAGCGTGCACATGTGCCTCAAATGCGCAAAACATCAAGGCTCCAAAGATGAACGGCGCAATGAGGAGAGAGAGAGAGAGAAAGCAAATATTTCATATGCATTTTGAGGGGGTTGGTGAAGGGGGAGGAGAAGGAAGACATTATCAGATGCTTATTGCTTAATTTGGAAAAGAAAAAGGAGTGGCATGCTTCAAGATTCATACCTGGAAAACAAGAACGAGCTATGGAAACGGAAATTACTGCTTTGATGTTCTGTGGTAGTTTTACGAACATGCAATCCAGAAAGAAACCCTAAAAATCACCTGCACGTCACCGTTCTTCTTTTCAAATCCGATCGCACGTTCAGTTGGGTAGTAGTGAAATTTGAATTCGACGTCGTCTATTTCTAGTTCGACTCGCGCTGGAACTGCGCGCCTTGAATGAGAACCATCGCCATCAGAACTTGGACGTTCGCAAGTGGTTCAGGAACGAACATAGATGGGCTTTCTATTTGGTAGGGAGTGTGCCATATCACAACCTTACTATCAAACAGCAAAGTGGCCGCCCTTCCTAGACGAGTTCGAGAGGATGATGTATCATCTAACACACTATAAACAGTGGCCATTAAAGAGAAGATGAGACATAAGGGTCGAATAGGGCCTCATGCCTGCCTTAACCTCGAAAGTTGAGGTTTCAAAGAAAATTTGGGCATGCAGTTTGGAATCAATTTCGTCCATATGACATATAAATGCTCGTCAAATTTGGTGTCAATCGAACACCATATGACTGTTTGCCAAAATAGCGTCTACCTCGAAGACGATTGAGAACTCCTCAAATGTACCTTAAGGGGAGGTATGATGTCAACTCTCCACCACCCCTGACCCATGTGACATAAGCAAGCTACCCTAGGGCACATATATGTGTTACAGTGAAGACGAGCGTTGCGGACGAGTGTATCAATCGACTTTCTTTGAAATAGGTATTTCAAAGATAGTACCGAGCGACGTGAGTGTATTGGTATTGTGCTATAGCCCGTGTGTTAAAGGTTAAATTTTGCACTCGCTATCTGGTATGGACTTCATAAATGATATGACATGGACATAGGGGTCCAATACCTCGATAGAACCCGAATTGATGAATGTTCAGGATGTTTCGATGTTTTGAACGACACGTGGGATCTTCTTGATGGCATAACCAACAACTCTATGCTGATTGGGAACCAAGATGATGTGAAATGACACATGGGTCAGTTCTTGAGATGTTGTCAAGATATATGGGCCATGTTGATTGAGAACCAAGATGATCTGGATGTAACATTGCACACGAGAAACCTTGACCTCGAGGAAAGGCAAAGTCTAGTCGAATGACTTGGTCTGGTGTGAGGCAAGTTGATTATGCCGCAAATGATTGAACACGTACGCGCATACTACAAAGTGAGACGAAAAATGGATATGGGGCTTGAATTCTCCTAAAGGCTAGTCGTAAGCGTGTCAAGATTATAACACTGCAAAATACCGCACAATTGAAAGAATAAGTGTTTCTAAATGTGGTATTTAAATTTTAAATTTTGCATATTACACCCATGTAATAAATATAGGTTTGATGTTATAAATTTGCAATTTTCAACAAACTTGTTTTATATCATAAATTTGTATAATTATTAATTTGCATATTTCAGTTTAACAAAAGTGAAACTTAAAATATTATATTTATCAATTTTTTTGGCAATTGAAATCGGTTGCTGTACCGCTTGTTTTCAATAGTTTATATCTAACAATAATTTGATACCCCACGATCAAGATAATTAGTTAAATCTCGTAAAACCATTTCACAAAAATTGATAACAAAGATAATTAGTTAAATCTCGTAAAACCATTTCACAAAAATTGATAACAAAAATAATTAGTTAAATCTCGTGAAACCATTTCACAGAAATTGATAACACGAATGCTTGATACTGCATACTATAAATTATAGCATCATTATAATGCAACTTTTTTTTAAAAAAATCTGTCTTTAAACTTTGCATAAACAAATCATTTAAACAAAAAGAAAATTAGTTAACAAAAATGTAGTATATACAGGGAGGGAGTAAAGTAAAAGATTTTAAAGTGGAGACAAGAGAATTACATCCCTGATTTTCTCTTCCGCTTGATCACGCCCACATCATTTACCCAAAAGGATGAGGAATACGAGTAAATAATGGGCACTCCAACAGATTATCATCATCATCTTGAATACAACAAATGAGCACAGGATTGGAGTTGGATCTCATAAATATCTCTTTTATCTCAATCTTAATCAAAGAACTTTCAGCTGTAGATTATCATACCCAACCTGTGCTTTGTATCTTTCAAATATATCTTCGAGTGCTTCAACAAACTGACGGTGTAAATCAAGCACCTAATATACCAACAATCATATAGTTACTAACATAACAACATATAGGACTTATCAATAATGAAACATAGGACTTGGTCATCCCTCAAGCTCATAATTCTAAAGGATTTATAATTGTTTGACCTCAGAATTCCTGGCTGTTGATTCATAGAGGAACCTCTTTTTTTGTCAATATTAATTATGCTTGAACATTCGTTGAGAATTGCAAAAGGAATGAAATGGGCCTTCAAGACACCTACCTCATCACTTGAGGGATTTGGATTTTTCTTCACCTCGATGGGTTTCCCCACCACCACATGCATCCGCCGTCTGTAAGGAAGAGGTGATCTGAAAACAGAACAATATTCAATGATCGCTGGGTGATGATGCAATAATAACTACAGAGATTATCTTATAAGCATAACCAAAGATCACAGACCAACACCCTTCATCCAAAAGCTGTACCATTCTATCGAACTTTTCCATGGATTGTCTTGTTCCTCATACACAAATTTCTCAAAATAAATTGCACGTATACAACATAATTAACAAAAGAAAGACTCGTGCAAAGTTAATTTTTCCTGATCCAAGTTCCCCCAAAAAAGTAAATATACAATTCAAAATTGACTGTGCGGTGATAACAATGACATCAAGAACAGTCCAGGAATTAGGTGGTTGTTAATGACCCAAAAACTCAACTTGCCTCAAGGGGTGCAGTCTATGCAACTCCTCTAAGGTTCAACAAAGGCCTACAATAGGTATCCCTGATCGAAGGAGAGTAACCCTATGAAGTGAGGTGGGCAAGATTTATTGAGCTGTGCACATATCAAAGAAGGGTTTTTTCTTCATTGAACTTTGTCTTAGAAGCTAAAAGTTTTATAGTGCACAATTGATATATTATATGAACTAAGACTACGCGAATATTTAAAGAATAAATGTAGTTCTCTTAAAAGAAAGAATCAAGACAAAGTGCTATTAATCAACTTCTTATAGAAAGATGAACCAAAAAAACACGCATAGTGGAGAATAGAAGAGCATGATATTTGTGAAGACTCGGAGAGAAAATCTACACATACCCAAGAACTCCCCAGAAGATAATAGGCGTGAACTTGATCGCTCTAGAAAATTGGAGGAAGAACTTACCGCCAGGTTTCCACCACTGGTAGACGCTTGACTATATAAATTTAGAGAAAACTGATTAAAATAAATTCTAGAATACAAATTAAAATCAGGATGATAATGTAGCATACTGAAAGCAGAGAAATAATCGAAGATACAAAAATACCTGACCAAAGCAGAAAACTGGGACCAATGGTGTACCCATCTCTATCGCTATGCGAACAAATCCTCGTCTTGTCTTGAGGAAGACAGTCTACAAAGTGAATTTCAGAGTTTTCTATAAGGAGAAAGAAGATTGAAAACCCAACTCTCAGTGGAAAAGAAAATAATCATATAAGAATTCCAGATCAGATTGCACATTTTTGGTTTAGAAACTCAAGAAGTTCCACCAGCTACATTTCCTTTTCCTTTCCCCAAATGTATCCGAAATCGTTTGAGGTTTAACTGTAAGCCTTGAGGTGCCTCAAGGCTTATGCCTTTACCAAACAAAAGGAGGCTGACAGCTCTGATGCTTATGTCCTTGAGGCATCAAAGGCGTGAGCCTCATGCTTATTATTAAGAAGGGGGTTATTTGGCGGTGGTGAACCACAATTTAATGGGAAGACAAAAATCATTGCCTAGGACATTTAGACGATCTGACACGTTGTTTTGAAACTAAGACCTCGTAATTTTATGACTAAAAAGTAAAATGTGACACACTAGAACATACTTAATTTTATCTTCATTAGGACAAGATAATAATTGATCTGATCGTTGGCAGCAGGCAGAGGAATACTTTCCATCTTTATTTCCTTTTTATTTACTTTTCCTTCCACAGTGTCTTCCTTTCTCTTCTCTTTTGTCCCCTAATTTTTGGTGTTACCTTTTTTGTAGTGGGGGTGAAATTTGGATTTCTTCTTTTTTCTTTCCTTCTGTTTCTTTTTACTTATCTTTATTTTGGTACCACTGCCACCTCAACCTTTTTTCCGCAACAGTATTTCAATAAATATTGCATCAGAAGATTATTCAAGTTTCTAATTCTGTTAAACATCTAATTAAAAAAATAATGTTTTTCCCATTGTTTTTTTATTTCCCCAATGTCTTCCTCTGTTTTTTTCTTAATATATATATATAGAATTGTTTTTAGTTATTTGTGACTGAAGAGAGAAAGTCTAGCAATGTTCTGGCTAAGTTCAAAATGGACGGACAAGAAGAGACTGCAATTTTATCTATCTTGCCTCCAGTATGCAAGTGCACAAACCTTAACCTTCTAGTAACATGGAGGATAGTGTAATAAGTCAAATAAAGATAGCATGATCAATGTTAAAATTTTCAGGTAAAAAATAGATGGAGAAAGACCTCGGAATTACGCTCCATATGAAATGTCTCTTGAACTCCACCAGGCACAATGATGCAACTATAGCCAGCTGCCAAGAGGGAGCTAAAGTTTTTCCTTGTTGCTGGCGATAGACCCATCCATGTCCATATGTGCCTCAAAAACGGCGTATAAAACACCTGGTCAATACCCCCACATGATGAAACGATAAGAAGCAACGGAGGATACCAGTAAATTCCTATAATAAAGAGGAAGAAGTCTTACAGCGGAGCTAGCAAGGACTTTCAATTTATGGAGAGGCATCAAACCAGTGAGGTCAGCCAACGCAACAACACCAATGGGTAAAACTGAATGTGGCTCATAACCAAAAACTACATGATGGAAAAATAAATTACATCTATTTTATGGAATGTTAAAATTTGAACATAATAAAATTCCATATACCAACACAACAAAAAAATAAATCAAATATGAAACAACCATACATCATGTGAGAGGAAACAAAACTGAAGATTAGTTACAAATAACTAAAAGGTGCCATTAAAATCAAGCAAACAAATAGCTACAACATTGACACTTTCTTTTTAAAGTTGATTACTAAAGGGGAACATCAACACGAGCTTTTTATATCAACCAAAATGTAGGATTAGGCGGGAAAGTGATTCTCCGGAGAAGAGGAAGAAGAAATAAGAAAATGTGTAAACCAGAAAAGGGCCAGCTAAAAAGCAAAATGGTTCAAATAATTCCTTCAAGAAAATGAAAGCAACACCAACGGTTGTTAATAGACTGTCGTATGGCAAAAATGGAAAGTGGATATTTATTATGATAGTGTTTGAGTTGGCTATTTAAAATCAATATACACAAAAACTTAGACATACAAAATTTATTTTGGTAAAGAAACTGAACAGGAAAGAACAATATACGAGGGAAGAGGAGAAGATAATCCCTTCTCCCTAAATAGATCCTCTAATATGAAATGATATAAAGTAGGCACACTACCTCCAGAGTTTCTCAATCAGTAAGAGGATAACGAAAACCCAAAGACAGTGAAGAAGACACATCCTAGGAAGACACAACGGATGTCACTGAGTGCAACTCCAAATCAGACAGGTGGAACAGCCGTGGGAACAACACACAATGGGCTTCTCACCCGCTTACCAGACCTCTAAAAAATTCGTATCAGACTCGTCCCAGATGGAACATTTAACAAACTGAAAAAAGATCAGAAAACCCAAAGCATTAGCAGTCCAAATGTTTTCGCTCAATCCCTTCAACCCACTACTTAGAACCCACTCAAAGGGGTGCTGATCCATGCTCACTCACAATAATCCTACCCCAAAAAGAATGCGGTTCCCTGAAGATCCATGTAACACCTGGAATTTTAAGAAAATAAATAAAATATATATATTTTTTTTCAAAAAAAAAGGGAAAAAACGAGAGGAAGGAAAGCAAAACGGCATGCACACAAGTAGGAGAAGATGACCGTACAATCAGTGGTCCGTTTCTCAACCTTCTCTTTAACAAATTTGAAGCTAGTCATGTTCACCAGTTTTATTCTTTTGACTTAATTTAGGCATATTGAGGAATTTACGAGAAATTTGGAATATCCTTGAAGACCCGAAACAAGCTCGGGAAGTCTACAATCAAGTGACCATATGGAGCAAGTTTCTAAGAAATACTAGTAGGAGTCAATTAGGATTGAGGGCAATGATTGAGTATTATGTTTTGGAGCCTAGTTTGACCTAATTTCATGATAATTGTGCTTAGATAATGTGAACGGTTTACAACTTAGTTCTATTTACAATTGTATAGCTTCCGCACTCATGGTTTATGAACTCTGATGGATCATTAGCCTTTTATGCTTTCCAATATGCTAAGGTTGGATTATTATCACTTAATGAGCATGATAAACATATTGTATGTCTTTTTACTTTTGTTATGCATGATTTAGGGTTTGGATAGCCCGTTATTGTCGAGTTATGAGTTGGACTATCGCTATGTGCCATAGAGTGCTAGTTGTGTTATCCATAGACTATGAGTTACTGTTTCAGGTATTTTGGTCCTAGTACCTAGACATGAGTTCCATAGCCTTCTTGGGTCCTAGTACCTAGACATGAGTTCCATAGCCTTCTTGGGTCCTAGTACCTTGTAGGGACGGATAGAGCGCAACCCTATTCGTGAACTAACCAACAAGGGTTAAGGTTTACTTGTTACACATGGTTTAGTTGTCACCTATAGAAGGTTTTAGGAGTCATAAAGGGTTTACTACTGAAGTACTATCGGTGGTGCCTAGTGGGGAGAGCCATGACCTTTTTACTAATACAGCCCAAGTGGCGTAATGACAAGTAGTTTACTGTTCTAGCCTGAAAAGGCAAAGTAACAGATAGTTACAGCTTCTAAGACAAGTAGTATTATTGTTCTAACCTAAGGAGGGTACATCAGCAGTTAGTTTACTGTTCCAGCCCGAAAAGAGATAGTGACGGGTAGTTTACTGATCTTAGGAACAGGTAGATGTAACCCGACATCATTAGGGAGAACCCATTGATTAGAGCTACGTAGGTAGACATGCATGAAATACGGTCATCGTTTTAGAGCAAAAAGGCTCCTCCAGACTTATGAGTATTACCTTAGGGCTTTTCCACAAGCCACAACACCTCGAGGCGCACTTTGCGCAAGACTGACGAAGGACATAAACATACATGAAACCTAGAGCCAAGAGAAAACAAAAAACCTCTAGGTTGTAAACCTAAGAGGAATTGAGTACTCCTTAGAGGAGGTATGCTAAGGGCTAGTTACACAATGACCTATAAAGTTTGGTATAGACGTTAAGCCACAGTATGACTATTGCTAGGGACAGTTATGAGCACATAACCTAAGCTTCCGTGTATAGGATTAAGTCCGACAAGAGCATACAAATAAATTGATTACTAAGTATTTTTTATACTCATTCCATGTTCTTCTATTTTTTTTATTTTCAGATGGAGTGTATAGGATGGCGGGAGCGTGCAGAGTTGTGCAGCTGCAGGGGTTCCCTTTAGATCAAATCGTCTTCCTTGTCATTTCGTTATTATTTGAAATGCTACTTCAGTTTCGAATGCATATTAAAATTTTAAATTCCTTGTGTCTCCCATTTTACTGCCCTTTTCACCCTTGAGTGTACATGGCGACCTATGATTCGAGGTAGCGAAAATCAGGTCGTTACAATCCAACACAAATATTTAGCCAGCCTAGCCTTATTCTGTAATCTTGAAGGCCCAAAAAACCAAGACGCACCCAATAGGATGTCACGTGTATTTGCTCCTATAATCTTTTGCCACAAACAATGTATTAAGACAAGAGAGGAGGAGCCAAATGTTGAATTCTAAAATTTCCGATAACCGAACTACCCCTTTCTCATATTTGTTCTACGTTGTTGAGAGAAAGAAATGACAAACAATTGTAGAAGGGGAGGGGGGGAAACAGCGGTCACTAACCATAAGCACGATTGGGATCAAAGGCATGTATATCTTCAACATGTAGATTAACAGGAAAATAGCTGCTAGCATTTTGACATATATACCTGGAAGCAAAGAGCAGATAATAGGATGAAAGAAGGAAGTGACGGAAAAGGAAAGAGGGTGCAGAACATACCTGGCCAATAAGCGGCCGTATTTGCTTTTATCGTCGACAGGGATTAACACTAATATCAAAAGTAAAGCGAAAACCCTAAAAAAAGAAGAAAAAAAAGTGATGAGAAAGAGATGCGGAGAAAAGGGAAAGGAAAAGCGGATGAGAGAAAATGAGAAAAACAAAACTCACAAGAGGGCTTTGGGGAGGGAGAGGTAGAAGAGGGAGATAAGGGCGAGAGCAACATTAAGATGAATGCCGCCGAGCCAAATGCCGAGGGCTACCATTATGTGCATCGTCCGCCATTTGGTCGGCGACCCACCGACTTCCTTGAAAACTGTGACGGTAGATCCTGAGATTTCATCCCTCCCCATCCTTCTCCGCCTTCTCCAGAAACGGAAGAGTTCTCGGATTTTGCAACAGATCTAGAAAGAATCGTGTCTGGTTCTTTCTAGTCCACTCCCTTCTCGACTCCTTGGCAGAAACCAGGCGTGGAAGCTGTTAATTTTATTTATACAATCTTTTCGTACTCGGTGAGAGTTCCGTGGGAGTGATTGATTCCCCAATTTCTAAGTTCTCTTTAATCAATTTATGTTATTAATATTTGTTAATGATCGTTTCTCGAGTTTGTCTCATTGTTTATGTGAAAGTAGTACAAATTTGGGTTTAAAACCCAAAATTCATTACTTCTAGAGTTGATCTCCAAACTTGGAGAAAAGTTCAAAACAACATATTTGACTCAAACAAGTTCGAAATTTTTTTTCTGAGTCACTGGTATACCACAAGTTTTATTGTTTTAAATACAATAAATGCACGAAAGAAAAAAAAAAAAAAACTTCAAATGGATCAAGGAAAGCATATGGTACAAAAAAAAAAAAAAAACAAAAAAATCTTATTTATAAACCCATGATCGCTCACGTGGAATTCTCTCCCAACAATGCTCACGAATATCAAAATCGTCCAGAAGGCCAATATTCATCCGCTAATAATTTGTTTTGTTGGCTTTCTTGTTTGTCTACATTCTCAATAATGGTAGACCTTGAAAATGAAAATAATGTTGGAATTCCATACAAGGGAATTGAGTTACAAACAAGAGTTTTTAATCTAAACAATGCAATGAATTTGTTGAGGCAAAATTAAATCTTCAGAGCACGTAGTTTCTCCATAACACCTCGAATTTGATCTGAGATATAAGCATACAAGAATCTCTGCGCAGCCTCATCCAGTCCCGTTGGTTCGTCAGTGGCAGGCCATCCTAGTAGAGGAGAGGAACAATTACGCGACATGGAAATAGCCATCTGCTTCATGCTAGGTAGGTCGAAATCAATAGGCTCACCCACAATAATCTCAATCTTCTTACTGCACAAGGGAACAACAGGCCTCCTACCAAAGATATAGTTTTCAGGCATTATCTGGGAATCCACATAGGTCATCGTAAAGTGAGACGGGGTGAAAAGATAAATATTGGATTTCCAATCAAACAAATAGACTATTGAGGATGGTTGGGAGGGAGCTCGTCCCACATTGGCTAATTTAAGGAATGATCATGAGTTTACAAGTAAGAAATACATCTTCATTGGTATGAGACCTTTTGGGAAAGCCAAAAAGCAAAGCCACGAGGGTTTATACTCAAAGTGGACAATATCATACCAATGCGGAGATTCGTGATTCCTAACATGGTATTAGAGTCATGCCCTTAATTTAGTAATGTCAATAGAATTCTCAAGCATCGAACAAAAAAGTTGCTAGCTTCGAAAGTGTATTCAAAAGTGCCTCAAGTATTGAACAAAGGGTGTACTTTGTTTGAGGACTCCAAAGAAGGAGTTGAGTCTCGATTAAGGGGAGGCTGTTCGATGGCTCCATAGGCCTCGGGGGAGGCTCTATAGTGTATTTTGTTCGAGAGGAGGATGGTTGAAGATTGTTGGGAGGGAGTCCCACATTGACTAATTTAGGGAATGATCATGAGTTTATAAGTAAACCAATGAGAGCTTATACTCAAAGTGGACAATATCATACCATTGTGGAGGGTCGTGGTTCCTAACGTAAACTCGTGGATTCAGGCCCCCGGTGAATTTTTAAGGCAACTATTTACATCTAGAAACCAGTTAGTAGCATGGTTTCATCTAGACAGAATATTTGCAGGATTAGTAGAATTACTGCTGTAATTTTGGGGGAGAAAAATTACCTCCTGAAAGCCACGATGGACGATAGGCAGAACTATTGGTGTTACAGGAGAACGAACAATAAGACTAGATGTTCCCCATTTTAATCGTCTGATGGGCACATCTTCCTGGGTCACTTTGCCTTCAGGAAATGTATGGAGCTGCCAGATGGGTCCATGACCAGAACATAAAGAAAAGAATCTCATCTAGAGGTATGCATTTTATAGTCAATATAATTCATTGTGTTATCAAGACAGATAAAGTACCCATTCTCCATTCCTCAAGTGCTCAAGTGCTTCATCCATATATTTTTGATGGATTCCAGCACCCCTAGTAATAGGTATGCATTTTCCTGCAAAAAAGAATTAAACATTTTAAAATTTTGAAACGGTAGTTCACACAATACTCTATAAATTATGCATACAATCATACGAGGTCTCAAAATTTAGAATGCTATAATGAATATGTTTCTGCATTCATTCATGAGCCTGTCCCTGTCCCTCTTTAACGACCCCCCTCATATGGTACAATTTCCATGCTGTTAACTGGGAAATGGTGGCTAAGCCAAAAGACCCTTTTCATTGCCTTGCCACTTTGTTTCATGATCTGCAAACCAGCCTAAGCCAGCCCAACCATAAGAACTGTCTTCTGATAAATATTTCTCAATATGCTGCACACAATCATCCATATTTAGCCATGATTCGAGCTGTCAAGCCACTATACCAATCATCAAGGAAGTGTTCGCAAAAATTAGTATAGGGATAAGTCGAAGAAAATTGATGCTAGGTTAGGGACCAATCTCACTCAAAGAGATTCTGAATTCTCCGTGCATTGGTAGACAAATTAAATACACTGTAACACCCCAAGCCCACCGCTAGCAGATATTGTCCTCTTTGGGCTTTCCCTTTCGTACTTTCCCTCAAGGTTTTTAAAACGCATCTACTATGGAAAGGGTGTATCCCTCGCACCGTCGAGAGGGTCTAGCCCTACTCCAACCAATGTCTCGCACTGTCTGGTGACTGCCTCTTATACCATTTGTACCGGCACAAGCCCACCGCTAGCAGATATTGTCCTCTGTGGGCTTTCCCTTTCGAGTTTCCCCTCAAAGATTTTAAAACGCATTTGCTAGTGGGAGGTTTCCACACCCTTACTCTCCCTATTCTTTCCAATACTACAAAAACTTTGGGTGGGAGCTACAAAACTGTCCTTCCTCATCACTACAAGTAACTTACATAGAGAGAGCTACAAAAATTCTTCGAGGGCTCTAAGTAAACCTATTTTGTAATGACCTTTCACTAACCAACTCCTACTAATTGAATAAGGTAGCACCAAAAAGAAAACTGTAAGAATGATACCTAGTCGGAAGAAATAAGATAGCACTGCGTTCTTAAAGCATATATCCTCCGCGGCCAGCACCCACCTACCCAATGTTGCGTCAGAGGTAGGAAAACCTTTGAATCCCCACATCACTGGATCGTCTAACCTGTTAAATCCACCAAAGCGACGTCGACTTAGAAATTTCAGAGACAAAGAGTGAAATCCAACCAATTAAGCTATACACAAATCGGAGGAGAAGAACAAGGTTGCGATATAATAAACTTAGGAGCTTAATAGCTAATGAAAACGACGCAGCAGAAAGGGAGAAAGACACGGACGTGGACATATGATTGCTAACAGTGATGAGCGGCACTCCAGTAGGTCGGTATCGGACAAGTCGAAGGAGGGTATCGGCGTTGCGGACGGAAGTGGTGTTTAGAAGGTTTGCTACAGTCTTGGCGAAAGCCCCCACTGCCATGAACATCATTTTCCTCGGAATTCCCCACATGTGGTCCATTCGCCCTGCCCACTCCATATGCCGTCGTCCCATGCCCGCCGTAGGGCTCCGTGCTCATGCCTCAGACCCACCTTGTCTATTGCGGAGGTAGCGCCACCCGCCCAAGCCGACACAATGCTGCAGTTCGATCGAAGTTATAGCTTGTAGGTTAACTGTGCAAAATCAAGTCAATCACTTCCCAATTTTAGGAAAAAGAGTTGCAAAATAAACAGTTTTATTTATCATTAATTTTTTCTTTTTGCCAATAATTCAATTTTAAGAAGAAAATTGCTAAAATTTTTATAATTTCTTAATAAAATATTTAAGAAAATTTATTTGAGTCCTACACGACCAAAAAAAAAAAAAATTGATTTCATTTTCTTGAGTATAGTGATCATGTAATAAAGACGAAAGAGAGACTAGAAAAATATAAGATACTTTTAGTACAAGTTCGAAAAATCTATTACAAAAGGGTTAACAATAATCATTCTGTTCTATTGTACAAAATACCTCTTCAATTGATGGAATCTATCCGAGAGAAACCAATCAGACAGGTTTTTTAGAGGAATCAAAACCTTAACAAGAAAATATTAATTCGTATAAAACGAAGCAAGCTATTATGAACAAATTACATAGTATATACATTAAAGCTCATGGAGATGGTATGCGCCCAAACCGACGTAATATAATATATCAGTCCTCATCACTGGCATAGTATTGGCACAAGGACTCGAGTCCAGTGTTCGTATCACTGATTTGAACTTCCAAGCTCTGTTTATTCTCCACCCGAGCAGTCAATTCTGGTTTCTTTATAATAGAAACCCTAACTGGCAAAGATTTAGAAACAAACTTCGAAACACTGGAGGTGCCAACGTTGCCATCGCTTCCTGCACAGTAAGCGACAAAAAATGAAGCAAATACATCCAAATTTGAGCATTCAATTTGTTAATGAGACGCAATTATATATAGATTAAAGGGATGGTACTCTCCTTCTCTAGACACAAGGCCACAACAAAATACCTACCAAAAACAGTCTCTCAAAACACCTACATAAACCTCTCCCTCCACAAACCAAACTCTCACGCACAATCCCAAAAACTTGCCCCATATTAACCACTTCTTAGCCATTCCCCACCTTAGCCCTCCTTAAAACATAAGGAGTTTAGGATGTGAAAGATTTTCTGCTTACAACCCTTGTTTCAGGTTATAAGATCACTGCCAAGACCAAGGGTAGATAGGCTGAGAAAAGTTGAGGAAAGTCCTTCATCGCATGATTTCTATTTCTATGAGAACCCATGTCAGTTGGGGAGGAGAACGAAACAGCCTTCTAAGGGTGTGAAACCCTCTTCCTAGGAGACGTTTTAAAAACCTTGAGAAAAAGTCCAAAGAAGACAATATCTACTAGCAGTGCGTCTGGGCCGTTACAATTTCTCAACAGTCTTCGTTACAGGTAGGATTTTTTCTTTTTTTTTTTTGATCAAGTACTCATCATCAATGAAGCCATGGATCATAGGTTTACAAGGAGGAAGGAGTTATTTAAGAGCAGTTGTGAAAGCGTGTGATCATGTTGATAGAGACTTGGTGGACTAAGTCTTGGAGAAAGAAGAGTTCTGGAGGGAAATAGAGATCGTGGATATGAAATTGCATTAGGTCGGTTAATCTCTATGGTTTTTCTAATGAAGCTACACTGGATAATGGTTGGTTGTGGGGGTTCTTAGAGCCTAATACTTTATTGCATAGGATTATCGTGAGCAGATATGGCATACACCCTTCGATGTGGGGTGCAAGGCAAAGTTTAAGGGCCCGAGTATCTTGAGAAAGGTGCAGCAAAAATTGTAACAATTGCAAATTGATTGTTTTCTTAATATATTGAGAGGGGCAAATCAACTAAAGATTTAGTATCATAATCCATTCGCAGAAAATCCGTTCTTTAGAACATTCGATAGAATAAAAATAAAAAGTGGGGGTACCTTCACCCTTGAGGGCATGGAGAACAGCAGCTTTTGTTGAAGTATTGGTAGGGTCATGAGGAAATTCTTCAGAAATCTTTTGCTTCTGCAATCCAATTAGGTAGAAATGCTAATGAGAAAAGGTGACGTCAAAATTCTCTAGATAGTAATTAAAAACTGCACTAAGAATGAGCTAAATAGTTGAGATTCTCAAAGACCCTATCAGGCTTGCAAATTTATCACTATTCATCCACATCTGCATATTTATAAGGAATAAAAAATAACTTTACTTACCTTTGCACGAAAGTCAAATGTTTCATCATTGCTAGTCGAATGTTGTACAAAATGATTGTTATCATCAAATTCATCGTCCGAAATTCTTCTAACATAATTGTTTGAGTTCTACACAGGAGTAGTGATAAACGCATATTAAAATTTGTAACTCCTTGAAAAAGGAAACCAAAAGAAATAACTATAAATGGAAGAGGGAACACACACACAAACAATGAACTCACATTGAAGACAATTGATTTTATCAACGCCTCATCCTCTTCCTCTAACTTCTTTTCCTGGGAAGTAAACATTTATCAAAATAGTTAAAATCACACCCTAAATCAAAAGAGAGATTCTATGTTTTCTTTTTCAATACTATTTCTCATATATTTCATGTCAAGATGATTTCTTGAAGGCAGTGATATCCATACCTTTTCGGCAGCAGTTTGTTGCAAAGCCACAAGCATTGAATCAATACTCACAGTTGCATGTCTGGACTGCAGAATGTAAAAAATCAAAACAAATTAGAATAAATATTTGTCGTTCAAAGCCACAACTACAAGAAAGTAATCATAAACCAAGAATCGTAATGACAAAACAAAGGGTAATAAAAAAAAAGCAAACCTTCATAGATTTCATCTCATCCAACGCAGCAAGGATGTCCATTTCGCGCTTAGAATCCAAGGTTCTATTTTCCAAGGATTTCATTGGGTCCCCCATCTCTTCAGCATTCCTTTTGTGTTTCTCCTTCTCTGAAGCTTCATCTTCATCACGCCATGGTTCAAAATTACGAGTGGCACCAGATTCTACAGTATAATCTGAATTTTTGGGGTCTGTTTTGATGGTGAGCTCAGCCGAACATCGAGTACATTTGAAGTAGAATCTAAACAATTGGATTCCCAAATATGTCTAAAGAGAAAAGAAAACCATGAGAAAATTAATTTCAAAAAGAATTAACGGTCAAGAAGAAAAAAATAAGAAAGGGATTCTCTTGCCTCGCCAATGACGTCCTCCTTGCGGGAATTAAACTTGGTGCCCTTGTATATGTAATTACCACAAGTATTGCACCGGATACTCATAGGAAGCATCATACGAACGTTCATTTGTTGGTTTTTGGGCCTACGAACCCTTGGTAGCTTTGATGGATCAAAATCCGGTGGGTAGTATTTGTTGAGCACCTTCCTCTCTCCCATTTTGTCTCACCACAGGAGAAAATAGAAGAACGGCGTATCACTCAATATCTAGCACATCACGAAAACCATGGAGATTAGTATGCCATTTTTTGAAGTAAAGCACTTAAACAAAGACATTATTCAAATAATGAATTTTACAAATGAACAACCTAAGAAACTCGACACCATCCATGTGCTTCTGATCAAGAGCAAAAAGAATAGAAAGTCTGGGACGTATCTATAGCATCGCTATTTTTATTTTATGACAACAAGATTCCCATATCAAAGAACACCCAAGATGGCCCCTTGCACAACCAATGGAAAACAGGAGAATAGTGTTCAACTATACCTTTTTCTTATTCTGTCTACTCTCTGTATCAAGCATTTGTTTTCTTTCTATTGACAACACATCTTAGTACCTACCCACTATTCAAGCTTCTTCCCCTTTAAGTGCTCCACTTTTTGATTTATGTCTATTCTACCCTAAGCATTTTCTTTAACTTCCTAAATCAAGTACATGAAATACAAAGCATATAGACGCCTTTAATTTCCCAAGTTCAAAGTATCATTGGTGATTGTATAATCAAACTATAATACACAATGTAAACATGGTTATGGTTGTTTGGTAAATCAAAATAACTCCCATAAGCTAAGGATTTAAAGAGAATGGAATAATACAATTCGACTGATTCTATGATTTCCTGATAAATAGAAAAGGAGATATGGAGATGCTGGAAAATTCATGGCCGCATAAAAAAGGGAATTTCAGCTGTCTAAAGACATATAGAGATGATCAAAGCCTCGATTGACAAACATTGCAACAAATCAAAAGGCAGTTAAAAAATTCCTAATTCATCGCAAGATTTTCTTTCTTCCTATCGGCCATGGTTGTTAAAAAGAAATCAAAACAGCACCTACATTCGTTAATTAGAAAATTCCTAAATTATGTTTTTCAAATGAGAAAACATATAAACGGAGGTTGGGAGAATACCAGTAACAACAAGAAACTAGAAAACCAGTGCAAACCTGCGGCAGCACGATCGGGTAAAAGACGACGGCGACAGCAGCAGTAGACGAGAGGGAGGCAGCTACGGCGAGACACTGGCTTGCTGAAAGGGAGGAAGAGACGGCGTGAGGGATAAATGGCGTAGGGCTGGGAAATTCTACAAATGAGGCAAGTTTCCAATATAAAAGCTGGGTCTAATATTCGAGTTTTTAAAAATTAGCCTTCAACTTCTATTTTGTTTTTGTTTTTGTTTTTTCTTTAAAATATTTTCAATCATTCATTATGATATGGAAGCAAAGGGCTAATATTTAAAAAATAATAATAATAAAAAGAAAATGCATGGAAGGAAATAAACTCTTCATCCCAGAAGAGTTTTGATTTTATTAATAATTACAACAAAATAATAAGTATGAGAGTAAAAATATACCTTTATAGAAATAAGAAAATTCTAAAAGAATTGGAGTACGAGTATCCAAAAAAAAAAAAAAAAAAAAAAAAAAGAGCAAGAGAGTTTCAAGAGAGAGAAAGTATCATTCTAGGATGTGACAGATCCTGTAGTCTTCCTTTATGATAAGTGTACTATTTATAGGTAAAGATTATATATTTGAATATAACATGATCTTTATTAAATAATATAAAATATCTTAATATATATTTAACTAATTTAAATTTTATTTGAAATATTTAAATTATATTTGATTGGTATAAAATATTTTAATATATATTTAACTAATTTTACTCTCAAATTCGTTAAAATAATTCATTAATTATTTTAACGTATCAATATAGATTAATTATTTTAATATATCAAATACCATGCTTATATTTAAATTCTTCAAATTTTTCATTTATATTTAACCATATATCATATATTAATTTTAACCCTTTAAATTATATATATATATATATATATATATATATATATATATATATATATATATATATATTTATTTATTTAATATATCTAATGAAACTTTCAAATTTATATATTTGTTTAGATATTTAAATATAAATTTGAATATTCGTATGTGATTGAATGAGATACATCCTTAATGAGGATAACAAATGATCTATACATTTTTATAAGTGAAAACATCACATAACATGCATAGTTAGTTAAAAAACGTCATCAAAACAAGGACATTTTCTTATTTAAATTTGTAACGGTCCAAGCCCACTGTTAGCAGATATTGTCATCTTTGAGTTTTTTCTTTCGGCTTTCACTCAAGGTTTTTAAGACGTGTCCACTAAGAAGAGATTTCCACACCCTTATAAAGAGTGTTTCGTTCTCCTCTCCAACCAACGTGGGATTTCATAAATTAACCAATGAGGGTTTGTCGTGTATCTTCTATTGTTCTTCATCAATCTCGTCATTGCCAACATATGGGACATATCCAGCCCGTTTCATCTGCTGTAAAAGTGTCCTCAAAAGCATGTAGATTTCTTGCTTCCTTGCATGTCTTTTATCTTTAACCATAAAAACATTCAACTCACCCTGAATTTCAATCCAACTGCAACCTGGTTGTTTAACCACTCCTCTCTGTCTCATCAGCTTCCTTATTCTCATAACATTCCCCCAATCTCCACGTTCAGCATACATATTAGAGAGAAGAACATATGGCCCAGAATTCTCAGGATCTACCTCTAAAAGCTTCTCCACTACATATTCCCCCAATTTTATGTTCCTATGGACTTTACAAGCCGCAAGCAATGATCCCCAAACGATAGCATCAGGCTGCATTGGCATCTCCTCTATTATATTTTTTGCTTCTTCAAGGCAGCCAGCTCGCCCAAGTAAATCAACCATACATGTATAATGATCCTTTAACGGTACCAAACCATGTCGTGCACGCATCGATCGAAAGTAATGGCGGCCTTCATCGAGCAGCCCGGCATGACTACAGGCAGACAGAACACCAATCATTGTTACATGATCTGGTTTCTCTCCTGATTCTAACATTTCACTGAAAATTCCAAGGGCCTTGTTGCCAAAACCATTTTGTGCATATCCAACTATCATAGCATTCCATGACACACAATCCCTTTCCAACATACGTTCAAACACCCTACAACCACTCTCAACTGATCCACATTTCATATACATATCTATTAGAGAATTCCCAACAAAGATATCTGACTCATCTCCATATCGGAATCGAAATCCGTGTTTTAAAACATGAGAGTGAGCCTGTCGGCCAAGCTGCAAATCAGCAAGGTTTGCACAAGCATTGAGGAGATTGCCAAATGTGTAGTGTGTAGGCCAAACAGACTCCCTTTTCAAAAGACGGAAGAGTGTAAGTGCCTCTTCATTCTCTCCATTTTGTGTACATCCGGCAATAAGAGCATTCCAAGTAATTACATCTTTCACCATCATATTTGAAAACATAGATCTTGCAGCTTTAACACTTGATGCTTTTGCATATCCACTTACCATTGAGGTTTCAGACACCACACTCCTAATTGGCATCCGATCGAAAACTATTCTAGCCTCGTTAATCCTATTACATTTAGCATACATATCAAGCAACGCATTGCCTAAAATAAGATCATTTCTAAATTCATCACATTTCACAACTCGAGCATGAATCTGCTGACCTTCTTTGATTGCCGAGACAGTTGCACATGCACTAACAACACTAGCAAGAGTTACTTCATCAGGTTCGACCCCACATTCGATCATCTCGACAAAAATACTAAGAGCCTCATCAACTGGGCCGTTCTGTTCATAACACGTAATCAAGCTATTCCAGGAAACTCTACTTCTCACAGTCATTCCATCAAAAACACTTCGAGCACAATCAACTCTTCCACATTTAGAGTACATATCTACTAGAGCAGAGCCCATATACATATCTGATAAATAATTTGACCTATATATTAAACTGTGGATTTGGGAACCCATTTTCAAATCTTGTAAACCTGCACAAGCACTGAGAGCACTACCGAATGAATATTCATTCATAAAAAATCCATGACCGTGCATTTGAACAAAATATTTTAAAGCTTCATCAAAGCAATCATGTTGTTCAAAACCCGAAATCATAGAATTCCACGAGCATTGGTCAACTTGAGGCATCTTCTCAAAGATGTGGACAGCATCATCAAGAAATCCGGACTTAGTGAATGCACAAATAATGGAGTTCCAAGAGAAAATATTTCTCTCAAGCATTCTATCAAACACCTTGCGAGCAACACCCACACATCCACATTTCCCATATACATCAATGAGCCTATTTTGGATAAAAACTTCGGACGCAAAGGGCGATTTAATTATGCAAGCATGAACACGACTCGTGTCTCTAGCTGACTTCGAGCGAGCACATTGGTTCAAGAGCTTGGAAAGAGGCGATGAATCAAGAAATAAAAGGTCACCCGTGAGACGTTTAACAAATCCATTCCCCGCCATTTCCATAATCCTTGAAACAACAGGCTCATGGGCATGCTCTTATCAAATCAATGAGCGTTTAAAGAGAATATGAAAATTTAAGAGCTAAACCAACAAGTACGACAAGAGAAATTACTTTCTTCCCGTCAACTTTAAAAGCTTAACCACGTCGAGTGGTTCCATCTCCTAGACAAACATCAACTATCTTCCATAATTCAAGCCCTCGAGTAAATTAAAGAGAACGAATGTTGTTCTTCAAGAAAGTATACTCAAAAGAAAATACAAGTGACAAGCGTACCGATAAAAGTGTCTCCTTCACTTGATCTAGTAAGCCAAAGATTAACAACTCTGGGATATGGTTGTGTATTCTACACCATGAGTCATGATAGCAGATCAAATGACGGTGGAAAACAGGGCAAATTTAACTCAAAATTCTAGTCAATTCAAACATGGATAACATGGTCAATATATACCGTAGACCTAGGGGTTTTTATTATTATTATTATTTTTTTTCAATATAGAGACTTGTTTTTACCTTTATTTCTAATAAAAGACTAAAAAAAATACTCGACCTGATATTTAATTACTTTTAAATAAATTATTATTTGAGGAATAGTATAAAATAATATGCTTATGTTCAAACATACTCTAAAATGTAGTAAAAATTTTGATTTTAGTTAAAATTTGTACATTTAGAAACATTGTCTCTTCTTTATTATTATAAACCTTTGGCAAAAATTGAACAAAAGTTGAAATGAATATCTCCCCATAACTAGTTCTCAGCCATGTGATTACTTGTTCTCAGATATCTCCTCATCACGGATGACTGAACATGTTAGTTTGATGAAATACAAGAAAATCAGGGTCGCAGCCCTCTATTGAGCAGCCAGCACTTGCACCTCGCTCTTCTAAAAATAAATTCAAAGTAGCCAACATCTCTCATCTTCTTGTAATGACTAGTTCCTACGAATTTTCCTTCATCCTCTATTGCAGCAGAACCGTCCCCATCTTGACGCTGGAATGGTTTTTCCTGACCAATAAAGAAAAAGTTGTTTCCCTGAACCAGGCCTGGGATATTCGACGAAAAAGGAGGACCCGATGTTATGCCTTTATCCCCCAAAAAGGCCTAGATCCCCTTCCTTTTTCTCCGTCACGGATGCCTAGGCGTTAGTTTGATGAAATGCCATTTGGGTCGTGGAATGAGATTCTAACTGATCTGTACAAGAGTTGACATTTGCTAATATAAAACATTGCTTCAAAATCTACAAGGGTAACGGTACAAATGGAAGTTGTTCATCTATAAATAATGTAGAAGCCAAATTATACACGTAAAGCTCCCAAGTAAATGTACGTCTCCTTGGGCATTTCCTGAAGCTAATTATTGAATCTTATAAACAGGGGATTGGGTACACATGCAACTGGAAGATGGTATTTTACAGATTAAAAGGAAAAACTATTGATTAGAAGCAATGTTCAACCAGGTCGACGACGAAGATGGCAGCTGCTGCTCAGGTCTCGCTTGGCTTTTCTATTGGGTTAAGATCAAGACGTAGATATAGAATAAAAGAATTGTTCCCTAAACCTGAATATTTAACCATTATGTAGAAGAGTGTATAGTCCTACCGCTTCCATCGGTGTCGTCTGTCGCTCACTGCCTGATTTCCCTCCTAGACGTGCTCTTTCAAGAGTGGCTTCAAAAAAATTTCCATCCTCGTACCGTACATGTCGAGGCCGTCAATAGTTGTAATGTAAAACCTATAAATTGGTTACCCAGTATTGTTCAGTTCTGCAGCTCTCTGTCTCATCATTTCCATCACAGCTGCTCTTCTTCGTGAATCAGATTGCTGCTGCAGCCTCCTTAAGTGCTCTTTGAGATCCCTGGAATACATTAAGAATTGGACCTCTCTAACCTCAGTAACTACACACATAGATACTACTACATATATGCAAGCAGATAGTTAAAATATTATACACACACAATACACACATAGATCACAGGAATGCATGAACCCAAAAAAACGAAAAGAAAATGAAGGATGTCAACATTACCTGCAACGGGGTACATGGCATTGAGATTCTTTGCAAGCTCGAGCATGTAGCTGAAGGAGGTACCACATTTTCTTGCAGAGAACACAACCACCAGATGCACGTGTTTTGCATTGTATTCCGTGCCGAAAAAGCCCCTTCACCTTCCGACAATTTGGATATTGACAATGTGCAGAACGACATTGAGATGCATGCACCAGAAGATCCAGCATTTTCCTAAGCTGCAACGTTAAACTAACAACAGTAAGATATAGAAAATCAAGTAAAATAAAAATTGAATGGAAGCAGGAACACATGGGATAAAAGAATTAATAATAACAAGACCACCCAACGAAAGACCAGAACATCAATCGAATTTTAGTCAAAACTCAAAGTTACAGTAGGATATATAGGCCAACGGTTAATGCAATAACAAGAAATATCCACTACACCTGCATGACTCGTAGTTGCCGAGCTTCTTTATTTTGTGCATCTCGATCAACCATGGAAGGATGATTAGTCAACTTATGAGGATGATCAATGCCCCCATCTTTTTGGTAACAGGAATTACATACATCATAATCAGGGCAAACTTCACAACGCCAACCTTGACCAGTTTCTATGTCCAGATGACATATATTGCAAGTTGTGACAAAAGCGGGAGCAGTTGGATTATGAAGATGGTAAAGGACCATCATTGAAGAATGCTTAGCTCGCCGAAGAGTATCATATTGATAATGATTTCCTTGACACAAACTCAAAAACGCTTGCCTGGTGTCAAAAAATTCACTCTCAAGAATCTCATCTTTATCCTTGGTATCAACAGGCACGTCACTGATTTCATCCTGCAGAGTTCAGTCAGCAACCTCATATTAATTATGAAGTAAAAAATATATACAGATGAAAGATACATAAATGCTTTAAAACATTTTCATGCATTTGTTGGACAAAATGTTATTTTTGCAGACAACAGTTAAATCAACAAATATACAAAAATGCTGAATATATTTCCATGGAATTGAAAACATACGGGATAGAGGGAATGTTTTTCTCTTTGATTTATGGGATGTTTCTCTCTTTCTTCACGTTTTTGTTCTGCCTCATAGCACCTGTGATCAGACATCGCATCAGGGAAAGTAACAAAACCATAGGTTGTTTGAAAAGAAACATCATTTTCAAATTTTCCATCCGCCACTACCATAATGGACAACCACAAAGTTAAGAACCACACAAATTCAACTAAACAAAGTAAATATGTTCTGTTTTGAAAGTTGACTTTTAGAAAGAACAATTTCCTTGTTTCTTACATTAAAAAAATAAATAAAAAAAAAAAAAATTGATGAGGAAATATCTGGACAATGAATATATTCCCTTGTTTACATCGATACAAGACATCACTTCCAATTCATGTTGAAAAAACATGTATTTCAATGGCAAAACCACTATCAGCTATGAAGTAAATTACAAAATTATAAAAATTATATAAAAGAAAAAGTTAAATGGCAAAACCGCAGTGAATAGCTGGAATGAACAAAGAAACCATCACCTTCCAGCACTCACCTGTTGGTTTTGAACGTAAGAAAAGGTCATTAAAGAATATAAGAAAACAGCCTAAAACTTCTACCCATTACTTGCGTTGAAACAATATGCTCTCAAGTCACCATCAATATCTAGACACCATTTCCAGTTCATTTTAATAAAAATATACAGAAATATCTAGATAAGCCATCGCCAACTCTATCAATTAAAAGGGCAACGCAGAAGCTAATAGCTGGGACATGGACAAAGCAACCATCCCCTTCCATCACTCACCAGTTACTTTTGAATATAAGGTAAAAACAATGCATAAAAATCAGAATTCAATTGAGCAAAAATGAGGATTACAAACCTAAAAATTATACTCCAAACGAATGAATTACAACTTTTCTTGCTTTGAAATTTTCTTTTGTAATATCTTTTTTATAAGGACCTTTTGTAGTATCATCTCAGCACAAAAATGTTATATAATATATATACCCCCATAGAAGTCTGGTAGAGAAATTCCGTGAAAAACCAATACTCATTTTATAAAACAAAAAATAATAATAACGATGGAAGTCACATGTATTTCCAAAAAACCATAAAATGAAAGACTACTTTAAGTTCTTCAGTTGATGATGAAAAATAATTGTAAAATGATATAATCCAGATTTTGTTGATTCAGTAAAGAAATAACAATTAATAGCAAAAAGGTAAAATTGCATTTGTAATACAGATAAAAAAAATTACACCTTTATGTAAAGAAGAGATTTGATAATCATTAGTTTGGTGAAAGGAGGGAATGATTTAGGATTCTAAATGGATTTGTTTTTTCCCACTGCTCATCAGATCAAAAGCAGAAATTGACTTCAATCAAACCAAGCTGAGACAAATAGTCTATCAAACTAAACCATGAAGGAGGCTACAACACTACATATATATATATGTATATATAAACATAAACAAAGTGTAGCAAAAGAAACATGAGATAATTGGGGGCTCTTACTTATCACAAAGCTGAAAGTTTTTGCATTGGTTGCAAACCCATCTACTTCCAGATACCATAAGAATACAGCAGTGACTGCAAGCGTGTTGTAAATGAACCATGATAAAATCTTCCTTCATTGGAGAAATCGTTTCACCGAGCTGGAGAAACAAAAGATATCAATTTGGGTTAATAGGTTTAGTGCCACCTCACTGCAGCATCACAATTTAAATTACACCCAAATAAAGAACATACTGCAGGATAGACTATGTTATTTCAATTTAACAGGAACGGGCAAAACTTTCTAATATATATGCATACATATAAAGTTATAAATGAGAGAAAATTGTCATCATGGTTTTTCGTTTTGTTTTTTGTCTCTCTTGCACGGGGCTTCATCATCTTTGGTTTTTAATTTCTCCTCTATCATACCATTGCCATCTTCCATGGTTATCATCTTTGCCAGCTCCAGTCGTCTACTGTCATTGAGGGTTCTCGACGTTATTGGGTTTTCTTTTCTCCTACCTGTTTACTCTATTTGTCACCAGTTCTTCTTCATTGTCCTTCTCCATCGCCATATTCTTTTTCTCCTTCAAGTTGCTGCTTTGCTGCTCTGGTTAGGTACTCCTTACCTTTAAGTCAGTGTGGTTTGGTTTGCTGTTTTGGTTCAGTTTCATGAGGTTCTTTGATTTCCTGGTTATGTATTGTTTATCAGAGTCACTTTGTCATAAGCATAGTAGCTGTTATATTGACATCAAGTATTTCCATATTTGTTTTTGAAGATGACCGTTTCTTCATTGAAGATTTGAGTCTTAATTTAGTCATTCCTCAATCTTTCTCTCGCCTTGTTTGGTTTGAAATATTATTTGGACAAGTTAATGAAGGGTTTTGTTTTTGC